CAGTCCACCAATGACGTGTATCCGGAGTCTGTGCACGTGCTACTGGCGTCATTGCTCAAGGTCGATTGACTACCAATGTCTGGAAACTGTACCGCGCTGCTCCAGGACAGGCGTGATCTCGTAGATCCGAGTCACCACAGAAACTCAAACCAATACACTTCCGGCACTACACAAACTGTACGGTAATGCTATCGCAGTTCGACCTGTGAATCAGCATGATTGGAATACCCGAAGCTCAAAAGGATTACTCTTCTAACAAATGGCTACAGGAAATCGTGGAAAACGCGACAGCCTCCGCGTCTTAGAGACAGTCAACCAATCCATTCCTAACCGTTTGGAACTTCAGAAATAGAATAATATTGACTGACGCGTGAGAGAGTCAGAGAGAGGCTTCAGAGCAAGAGTTGCACAAGACTACGACATCCTAAAATTCATCAAACACAGATGTAGTTACAGTAATAATAATAGGTGACTGATTTATCAGGATTAGTTACCCTGGAGTTTCTTAGGTGTTGCAACCAATTAGGAAACTCCGGTGCGTATAATGCCGATTGTATATAGAAGGCGTGGGTTGTTTTTTCTCTCCGCGTGTGTATTGTTATTCTGGTTGATTGCAGAATTTTCACTGATCAACCAGTCGCAAAGTCAGACTGAATTTTTCATCACTTCATTGTATTTCTCCCAAATGGTACCATTCACATTTTTGAGTAGTATATTTGGATTACTCAAAAGAGTGTGATTGGCGGTTTCTCAGAAAGGTCAAAATTGAACAAAACTTCTCAGAGAAAATTAGTGTATTCACAATTGCAACCAAAAAAAATGCACATATGCCGTCGAACTGTTCGATCCATTATCCCGGGTGCTTGTCGGAATTATGATGACCTGTTCCTTAAGAGAAGTTCCGTTTCATTTGTAATCTTATTTACCCCTATCCGATACTGCTCTCTGAATAGCGAGCTCGCCTTGTCTCGGCACTGCCTTGTGAATTCATAACACCAATTCGTTTTCTTTTCAAAGCTCGCCTGGACGTTTGTTCGTTCTATTTATTGCAAAGTTATTTCTCAGTTCTCTTTATTTTAGCTGTTGATATTTCAGAACTTGAGTCCCTACCTGAATGGCCTTCTGCACTAATCTACAGGGGCTACTGTGCCCTCCGTTAGTGAGAATAGATTGAATTGTATTCTATTTCAGGAAAAATAATGATCCATTTCATAATGGCATACAATCATGATTTTATTCTATCAAAACGCATCAATTATCGAGGAATACTTCCCGAATCCTACATCTAATGAGTATTTTGACCAATAAATCTTTTGCGATTCCTTGAAGGGGGGGAATCTAACTTATCCGTTGTTTTTTATCGATCCATGTAAATGTATCATTACCTCCATGCACAGGTGATCCCAAGGGTATCGTACGTGACACTGGTGGATACGCGGTCGCTTTGAAGTATACAGCTGACAAAATCTACGATATTCCACCGGGTAGTACTTGGTGGGCGTCGAGTGAATTCGGTTGGGTTGTGGGTCATTCATACTGCTGTTACGCACCATTGCTACAGCGCGCTACAACAATCATTTACGAGGTACGTCCGGTTTTACTTGCCCAATGAGAAATAGCGTTTTAATTTTCTGCAGAAGTTGTTCTGATGGTTTGCTTGGTAGAAGTGGTTTGTCTTTTTTTCTGGCTAAACCTACCAGGATACAGATCCTTAGTCCCCCTGCTGTGCTGTTTAACGTATTTGTTCGATAACATTTGTATTCATTGCCCCCTTGAACGCGCAACATCAATACTCGACACACACACACAGACACAGACATACACGCACGTGACATGGACGTTCCTCACATGCAACCTTGATTACATTGACCAATCAGACTGCACCACGTGTGTGCTTGGTATTGATTGGATGACTGCAGATTACTTGTACGGCCAGTACCGGCTGAGGACATGCTTCTGCTAATTTTCATGAATCACGTTGCTACCGTTCTCTGCTAATTAAAAAGGATTTACTTACGTGTATATTACGAGTTCTACCGAATACAACACCCCCAAATACAATTTCACTGACCTATTATTTCATCATAACAATGGAAAACTGCAAGAATAACTATCGACCAACTTGAACAAATGGGATTTCCTATGACAGAGTAGTTTTTCTCATTGTATAAAGCACTGTAACATGCACGGTCAGAGGTATAAACTTACCAGAATCAATAAAAATGATAATAGAAATCAAGTGAGACTTTCGTATCGAACCTCGCCAATGAAAAACAAATGTCGTAATCATTAGAAAACTAAGGGGTCTGTTTTCCACAAACACATAGTACTGGGAGAAACAACGTGTCTTAAATGTACTAAAGCCGGGTAGGTTGTAGATGACGAATGTAAAGTTACAAGAGCGCGAATTCTAATAGGCAACTTCCACTGATGTAACAGGCACGGCACATGAAAAGTGTGCAAAATCGTTGAGGTTATCAACCTCCAGGAAAAGTTGATTATATTCTCATGTGGAGGTCGGTGTTGTTCGGTTTACACCTTCCAAAGTGATGGATTTTTCTCATAAAAGATTAGCACTTTTTTAGTTTTATCATTGTTGTATCATTTGCAGTTAACTCACATTTACTTGTGAGTAGTGTTGCGGGATAACTGATATTGATTAATTGATTAGGGCTGACCATCCTACAGACTTCACCTTCATGCATATTCCTCAGCTCTTCCAGTCAACCATAGACTCGGAATCACTAGAATCGAGTTTCGCTCTTATTACAGCTCATCAGTAGTGCATATCCACCGTCCCGTCCGGGATTTGAACTCCGAACCCATCGCATGGAAGGCGAAGGTTACCACTGTGCCAACCAGCTGAACCGGATTGCCACTTTATGTTTGTTCAGGTGTCGTCTTCAGAGATAGCCAGTCAGTTCAATTTGGCCCGACTTGGTGGGAGGCTTCGATTGGAGTTAACAGATAGTTAACTATGTCTCCCTTTATTGCTATCGGGCCAAATTGAACTGACTGGCTATCTCTAAAGACGACACCTGAACGAACATAAAGTGGCAATCCGGTTCAGCCCTGGCATGAGCTGGTTGGCACAGTGGTAACCTTCGCCTTCCATGCGATGGGTTCGGAGTTCAAATCCCGGACGGGACGGTGGANGACGGTGGATATGCACTACTGATGAGCTGTAATAAGAGCGAAACTCGATTCTAGTGATTCCGAGTCTATGGTTGACTGGAAGAGCTGGGGATTGTTTTATCACTTTTCTCTCTTTAATCCCAATGTAGTGTTGGAATGAAGGCTGAGTTCCTTGAACAAGTAGTCATCACTATACAATACAATGCAGTTTATTCTATAGTAAAATTTATCAGCTTCAACAAGCACAGAGAGTGTACCGGACAGCAAGGAGGAGGGATTCTACACTCTGTAATGAAACTGGATTCAGATATATTTTCTTCTGCTATCTTTTCTGTTTTCTCCACTTCGAATAATTCTTCCAGATGCGAGCATTTTACCAGTTTTCTTGCTTTCGGTTCCGGTTCGTATTGCCCCATAGAGACTGTATACATCCCTAATAACCGATTTTCATCGCCTCTCGTAAAGTGGCTTCGCCGTGATAAGGAAAAGGTATACATGAATAGCAGGGAAAACGATGATAAACGACTAAAAATTCACACAAAGGGGAAAGTTCAGCACTTAAATCGGATATATGATAAGATTAGTCTGGGCAACAAGAGTAGTCACGTGATGTATTTAGCATTGAAGCAACTCAGTGGTACACATGGGTGCTCTTGTACTAACGTGGAAACACTAACTAAATCGACAGTTGTCTGCCTCATTTGATTCCAATTCTTCTGAATCTGAATCCTCACTCGATTCCCTGAAAACAATAACCCTGTTTCTCTGACCGAGGTTCTTAAAGTTTTAAATCAACTCAAATCGAATAAGGCCCATTGACCTGACTCATTAGTGCCGATTTTATTGAAAACCTGCAACGAACAACTTGGAACACTCATTACTGAGTTATTAAATTTGTGTATATCCTCCAGAAGATTTCAGATTAATGGAGGGCTGTCCGGGTAAGACCCATTCCAAAGAAGGGCTCTTCAATGCAGCGACTAATTTTTGTGGCCTACATCGTGTTGGAATTCTATGAAAGTGTACTATTAGAGCTGATGACTACCTTTTCTGATTTTTTCGATCCTATTAGGTTAGTTTACAAACCTTCACTTTCAACTCTAGACACCGTTGCTTATGTTGTCCAGTTGTTCTTTAGTTTTTGATAGGAGTGCTTAAACAGTTCACCTTATTTTCCGTGGTTAGATCAATGTCTTTTGTTCACCTTACCGGCGTATTCTCATTCAAAGTTTCTCTGATCCCGGCTAAGGATCTAACGTGGAAAATGTTGTTCTAAACTACTTCTCTTTCAGAGCGTAATTTACCTTATGCAATGGTAAAACTCTGTTCTTTTAAAACTTGAATTCTGACTTTTTCAGGTGCCATGTTGTCTATATTCTTCCTTCCCTGTACATAAACAACCTACCGACTTTATTGTCTTCAAGTATGCGGACGATTTGCTGCCTCGGTATCCCTCCAGTAATTACGTATCGTTCCACCAAGTTCAAGACAGTCGGAATGATGCTTTTAGTTGTTCCCCATCCCGATCTCTTACGCTTAATGTTTCCCAATGTTTTGATGTTCACTTGGACCTTATATTTGAGATAATTGCCGATCTGATGGAACATCCCTTACTTTAGTTTTTTAACCATTATTCTCGTTTAATTGCTCGCAGTGTGCCATCGTTTTGTTTACCCCCTCCACACTCCTTTGTCTTTCCCCCGTATTCCTGTATTCTCGTGAAAATCACTGAAAAGTCACCCTTCGAGTGCACAAAGTTTATTTTGACTCTACTGGAGAAAATGTCGGTTCTGTACGTACAATCGAACGGAATGTAATTTCTAAGTCCCCAGGTTCAATGCCGAGCACGGAGGTAATCAATACGTCAATCGGAAATTTGTGGGACTTTTGAGAAAACAATTTTCGAACGGGATGCATCCTTAAAACCCCAATCCTTGAAAAGCTAACCACGTTGGCACATTGCACCGATGCCAACTGGATTTTGTGAAAATAGTTTTAAAGACCGAATTCCGTTCGCAAAGCGAATGTACAGCTCGTAGCCCAACACAGGAAATCAGAACACATAAGACAGTACGCTGGTCGGAGCGGCTTGACCGATTTAATCAACGTTTATGACAATACATCAATCGAATAACAGACGGCCTAAAACTAGGTCAGGCTGGATTACTGACCAAACAGCCTGGAAGAGCATTGATCAATGGTTGGCTTGAGCAATTGCATCACGTGATTGGACGATCAATAGGAACGTATGGACGGATGCGTACGTAGCAATGGTTTGCTTGCAGCCAATATAGGAACACTGTTACACATCACCAGCAGATCATTGTAGGTTTATTCGCAAGTTGCACAAATATTGCAGTCAATAAATCCAATCTTTTATTTTACCAACGATGTAATTTCTTTCTGTGACAAATAAAAGCCAATGAGGGTCAAGTACCTTATCACAAAAGGATAAACTTTCATTAGTTTTTTGATAAACTTCTCATGTACCCTCTTAGGGTAAACCCGTTGGAACTCCTGATGCCGCCCAATTCTTTCGTGTCCTTTCGGAGAACAAAGTTCGCGGTTGGTTCCTCACCCCAAGCGCTGCACGTGCTATACGCAGTGAAGACCCGGAACTCGATCTGAGTGAGAAGTATCGCACCGGACGACCGGGATTACGAAATTTAGCCAACGTGTTTGTGGCCGGTGAGCATTGTGACGAAAGCACAATGCGATGGTTGGCAAGAATGCTTCCCGCTCACGTGAAAATCAGTGACACATGGTGGCAAACTGAGACCGGTTGGCCAATCACATCAAGCTGTCTTGGTTACGAGGATGGTTGTGCAAACACTCAGGGTTGTGTGGCCCCGATTGGTTCAGCCGGTCTTCCGGTTCCCGGTTACAATGTACAACTGGTGGAACACAAGGAAGGCAATACAAGTTCACAATCTGTAGACAGGGAACTGGAGAGTGGGAAAGATGAGAAGCCGTTGTCTCGAATCGTGGTCAAGTTGCCTCTGCCACCAGGAGCTGCAATCACCCTGTGGAATGATGATAAACGGTTTGAGGAGCTGTATTTCTCGAAGTACCCGGTAAGTCAGCGCGAACTCATGGATCCAAGGTCTGTGTCTTATTTTCCTGATATGGGTCTCACGCAATGGAATTTCATTCAAGAATATGGTTTTCAAACACTTTCATCTTGATGCAACTAAGACGGATTTAATGGCTGTGTTTTTCTTTTCCTGGACTCATGACCACCAATGACGGAACAGTTGTTTAGTGTTATTTTTTTATCCTTCACACACATTGTTTAATTATCAAGAAATTTCTGCTTGACTTCAGTTTCAATTTTTCCAACCATTGAACCTGCACTTCCATGCACCAGTTTTGGCTGCTCCCTCATAGCTTCTAATTTGGATGAAGGTATCAAGAGAAGAATTGAAATGTTTAAATCAGTGTCTAAGTAAAAATAAAGAGTTCATGAAGGCTAAGGTTGTAGAGAAGTTGAAAAAATGCACGAGCGCCACTATTTGCGACACTCAAACATATCTCTCAGTGTCTCTAACTGTTGATTACGCTGATCTCGACGTCCCAATCCAGGAAGCCTTATGCGACCTATAGATCTCATTAACCTCGAATGCTTTACTGGACGCCCGAAGAACAATTCCTCCTGGTGCCAAGTATCACATGGCTAGCAAAGTCCTTAAATGCCAGTTCATTGAGAGCCTGCAGAATGACCACGAAAACTGGTGAGAAGAAAAGTGTAGAGAAAAGAAAAAGACCGTTGCTGTTGATAACGGGCCAAATGATTTCCGTCTAATTAGGAGTACTGGCCAAAGGAAGGTAGGCGTAAGTGGGGATAATCAAAGAGTTCGATGGCACACTGATTCCCATTCAGCAACGCCGTCTTGAATGATGGGTTGAACATTTCGTGGCTCAGTGACATTATACCGGTCAGTCCATACCTGAAATGAGCAAATAGTTCCGGTTGATATCAGTCCTCCTTCTGAAACGGAGGTTACGAGAGACATACGTTTTCTCAAAAATTATAAGGCTTCCGGTCCAGATGGAATGTATCCATCGGTTTTTAAGGATGGAGGTTCAGCCTTGGTTTTGGAGTTAACGAAACTCCTGTGTCCAATGTGGCAGAAGGAATAGGTTCCAAATCAGTTGTTTGAGTCGGTCATCTTACCGATTTACGAAAAACGCGACATATTCTCTAGCGAAAACCACAGAGGAATAAGTTTAATTAACATCGTCTCTTGACTTCTCGCTGGCATTATAATCTGTCGATTGTCTGCTGCACGTGACCCGTTAACGCGTGAGAACCAGGCTGGTTTTAGACCCGGTCGAGGTTGATTCGATCACATTTACATTCTTCACCACACTATTTCACAAATGATTGTGTCGACCATTGAAAAGTCTTTCGAGGTAGGCTGACTGCAGCGATTCATCTGCTGCGCGTTCAGCTGACACTAACCGCTCGACTAGCAGAAAAAAACTGTTGCCACTATGTTGGGTTATTTTTTCATCATTCTCTCTCTGAATAACTACTGTGGTACTTCGTAAATACATCTAAAACTACCGTACCCAGCCCCCAAAGACGAACAACTTTTGTCATCAATTACGGAAAACGGTTAGTACAGTAGAAATCTACCTCAACCAATGGGTTAGATGATCTGCAATCACATACAGGTATTCTATTTGGTTCGAAGCCCCCGTTTCATATTCCCTTAATCAGGTTGCGTCAGCCGAGGCCAGTATTTCGTTTGACACTTCTGGTTAGACATCACTGGTCAAACGAACACTCCCTTTTTAGCCTCATGGGTCAGAAAGAGAATGTTAATACGACAAAAGCTCGATAGTTAAGTCAGCTGTTGATTTGCTCAAAAGACCTACGAGTTGGATAACCAATTAGTGATCAATGAATGGATGAATCAATAATATTGTGGCCCCGGGTGGGTCGATAGTTGAGTTGTGAGTGATGGGTTCCATTGTCATCCAACCAGGTTCACTGGCCTATCGTGCGGTTCGTACCAGAGTGTATTTGCCTACCACTCGATGCTGCACCCTATCGAGGTCTTTGAAATACCACCAGATTTATCTGTATGATTGACTGAATGAGTTGCGGGTTGTGCGTGGAGGTGGAATCTGAAGGATGGTCGGTTCAAACCAATATCAACTATCACACTATTACTCACAAGTAGCTGTGCGTTAAATGTAGAAAATGATCAGTGATGTGAGGCAAAGAAAAACTTGTCTGTTCAATTCATTTTGTTTGGTAGATTAAATTTTTCTTTTTATTTGTGAAAAGCTCCGCAACATTGGCCAATTGGAACCCACACATGGACATCATCTGCGCTTTTCCATAGCGCACATTACCAGCTGAGCTACGAGACCCCACCGATAGTCCTGATCTTTTCACATTTGATTTACTCATCCGGCTTACAAAGGCATGTGGAATTCCCTAGTTAGCATTTAGGCTGACTACCATGACAGTTTTTTCTTAGAATACACCGATTTAACTTCTAAGGCATGGCTGATTGTTCAATTGTTCAAAAAACTTCTTTTATCTCACCAAAGTTACTCTGAATTGAAAAACACTCTTCTCTTCTTATGGTTCGACATTTATTGAAGAGAACGCTGAGATGTTCACTCTCAATCTATCCATCTTGACGATGATGATGATGATGATGATAAACATCAGGAAAATTTTATCGACCAATTATTCATAATCTAATAAGCATTTATCTCTCTTGTTCCCTTCCCTTATTTAATATAATTATTTCGTGAAATCCAATCATACAATTTCCCTCAATTTCCTTTCTATCTGTTTTGGAATTCACTTCTAGGATCACTACGATACTATGGATCTCGGCTACCGCGATATCAACGGCTATCTGTACATTTTGAGTCGTGCAGATGACGTAATCAATGTGTCCGGGCATAGGTTGAGCACAAGTGCATTAGAAGAAGCCTGTCTGGCGGTCGATAGTGTGGTTGATTGTGCGGTGATTGCGGTGCCACACACCGTGAAAGGTACGTTCACAAATGATCCGGACACTTATTTCAAGTCGGACCAGTATGACCTTTGACTATTTGAAAAATAGCACTCCCCTTAGGCTCACATTACTAGTTCCCTTAGTTGACCAGTGACCTTCATTTCCGACTACCAGAAGCTGCATTCCAGATGAGTTTGCAGTCATTGGATCTTCACTTTGTTTCGAAAGTGGAACTGTTTGATCTCAGTGATGTGCTGTAATTTATGCGCTTGCTCTATTAGAAATGAAATTAATTTTAGCATTGGAGAGTATGATATTGATCATAAACTCCGTTTTCACACAAAACGGCACCGCAGAACTATTTGCTGATGTAACCAGTCAGAGACTCCGGGAAAGAGCTGCTAAGAAACCTGTATACATCTGGTGACACAAGTATTGCCAACCCCAAGATTTTTCGATTATCTCTGCTTCAATATGCACGATCATCAATCACCATTTTTGATAATCGCGACTGCAACCGAATATAAAGCTGAAATACGGGATTTCATTGAATTATCTTTTATATTAATGAAGATAGATGAAGAAACACTGTTTTTACCGCGACAGGGCATCGCACCCACGTTGAATTCATACACATAACTCGTTTCACAAAAACGAGTGGGCTAGACAGCTCTAGTTTGTACTTCGGTATGATAATCTATAACCGTGGTGAATCCATAGTCGTCCGACTGTTTTAACCTACGGTTACGTGACACCCTCGTAACGGTGGCCAAATGCTCACGTCACTCTCAATGGCCTTGAAGACAGTGTGATAGGTTCAGCTCCACTCTGGGAAGCGTAAATAACCACGTATCAGTTATGAGCGAATGGAATGAAAAGAAGACCTTTCGGACAATTTGAGAGGAGCATTCTGTTGTGCATGGGTTCAAACTTCTTGAGTCATCGGTCAGAGATAAAAGTGGAATTTGAGGTGGATTTTTCGGTCTGAACGAAACAACGAACACTCAGAAGGTTGCCCCAGATGAAGTGCAAGATGTTGAGAAGGTGCATGATTCTAACAACGTTTAAAACAGAAGAAAACGTTAAATGGAGGCTGAAACCAAAGTAGCTTGAAAACAACAACAACAAAGATTGGAATTCTGTCTACATGAGGGATAGAAATACTTCAATGTGGATAGGTTCGATGTATGGAACTATGGCTGAAATAATATTGGGAAAGAAGAGCAATACTGCAGTTGGCGGATTAACGATTCAATTTCTGTGATAGTATGGATCCGCCTTCTCAAGCAACGGCCCAAACGAATGCTCTTTGCTGCTTTGGGTGCAATACTCTGATGCACATTTCTGTACGATAAAGCGACTAATTATATCAATGGCAATGGCGTCACGTAACCATAGGGAATTCATTCTCCAGTGTGATAATTCCGCGGTTCGGAACTGACAAAATGTTGGTTATTATTTCGCGCCCACTAAAACAAATGATGTGGCCTGCATTCAGACCAGGCTTGAACCCAATAGAAAAGATTTGGGTACTGCTTATCCACAAAGACTAGCAAAACTCAAGTTTTTACACCACAAAACGTGCAATATTGGCATCTTTGACTAGAGAGTGGAATAGTACTGATGGGGAAAAGATTTTAAAATTTCCACAAATTATGCTGAGAAGTTGTGTGGAAGTTTTAGCACATAACTGTTTCGTAAGAAACTGGTTTCAATGGGCAAAGCCCGTCCGAT